AAGTAGATGGTGTGGCGATGGGCTCACCTGTGTCTCCCATAGTCGCCGACATATTCATGGAGGACTTTGAGGAGAAAGCCCTTCTTACTGCTCCTGTAAATCCAAGGTTCTACAAGCGGTACGTAGACGACACTTTCACAATTTTACCATCTTACAAAGTAACTGCATTTTTAGACCACCTTAACTCCATAAACTCTAAAATACAATTCACAATGGAGTTAGAGGCAAATAATTCTTTAGCTTTCCTAGATGTTTTAGTCATCCGAAATCCTGATAACACTATTGGTCACACTGTGTATAGGAAAAAGACCCATACCAACCGATATCTAAATGGTGAATCTCACCATCATCCTTCACAGTTAGCTACCGTGGGTAAATCTTTGTTTCAGAGAGCACGAGGGATCTGTGACAGAAAACATCTGGCCGCGGAGCTTCAGCACGTCAAGCAAGTATTGCAAGACAACAAGCTTCGGGTCCCGCGCCTATGTCACAGTGAACGAGTGAAGCCGGCAACAGTCGAGCGCGCACCTGCTCTACTACCATATGTTGGAGGAGTCACGGACAAAATTGGCTACATCTTGAAGCGAGCGTCCATTAAGACATACTACAAGCCGCTGAAGAAGATTAGTCAATTTTTACCATCCATCAAATGTAATATTCCTCTACAAGATGCAGGTGTGTACAAGCTAGATTGTGAATGTGGTCTCTCTTACATAGGTCAAACAAAGAGATCTATAAAAACCCGCGTGAAGGAACATGTAGCTGATGTGAAGCACCGACGCTCCGGGAAGTCTGCAGTCTGCGAACATGTTCAAGATCGTCCCCACCATTACATTAGATTTGATAAACCACAAATTCTCGCAAAAGAACACCGATTCCTACCAAGGATGATACGCGAGGCTATTGAAATTAAAAAACATCCAAATTTCAATAGAGAAGATGGTTGGGTGCTACCATCTGCTTGGGATCCTATAATCAACAAAATTAAACCCAAACCCAAGCATACCACTGCAAGACTTCATGATACTATAAGCTCGTTTTGCGTAAATCGGACCAAAAATTAATATTAAAAAACTGAAGGTAGCCGGACTAACTATGACATTGGGACGTCAAACATCTCAGTCCCCCCCCGTGACCATGGGCGCTGTAAAGCACCCGAAACGTCGGGATAATAATAAAAATAAATTAAAGTAATTAAACGCGATAAAATCCGTAAATAATAGTTTTATTCAAAGACACATGCATATAACGGTTGGGTCATGCCTGTCCTCATGTATACCTTTGGCATACTCAGGTGGAATCAGACTGAACTTAACGCCCTGGATAGAAAAGTCCGCACTACAATGACGTCCCATAGGATGCATCATCCGAGATCGTCGGTAATGAGGCTGTACTTGCCGCGAAAGCATGGTGGGCGTGACTTTCTGAGCGCGCTCACCATGCATAATCGCGAAGTGTGCAGCCTCCATCATTACTTCCTGGCGAGATCGGATGATCCATTCTATAATGACGTCATTTCTAGTGATAAAGGACTTACCCCTCTATCCTTAGCCAACGAGCAATGGCAAGACCCGGCAGTAGAGAGCATTTCCGACCGGGAGACTGTATGGAAGGAGAAGGAGCTCCACGGGAGGTACTATAGGGCTCTACATGAGCCTCACGTAGATACAGCCACCTCCCTCAACTGGCTACGTTTCGGTGACCTCTTCGGGGAAACCGAGGGTTTTGTCTGTGCAATACAGGATCAGGTTATTAAGACCAACAACTATCGGAGATACATCCTAAAGGATGGCACTGTTGACGTCTGTCGAGCTTGTCGCCATCCCGGGGAGTCACTTAGGCATGTCATCTCCGGTTGTTCGGCGCTTTCTAACTCTGAGTACTTGCACAGGCACTACCTAGTAGCCAGAATTCTACACCAGGAGCTCGCTCTGAAATACGGTCTCGTGGACCGAAAATTGCCGTATTACAAGTACTTGCCGGAAGCCGTGCTCGAAAATGACCACGCCAAGCTCTACTGGGACCGGGCCATCATCACAGACAGGACTATTCTTGCGAATAAGCCTGATATTGTGCTGATGGACTGGGCACATTCAAGGATATTTTTGATCGACATTACCAATACGTATGACGAGAACCTCGTGAAAGCCGAAACAGAGAAACGAACAAAATATCTGGACCTGGCTCACGAGGTGACCGACATGTGGGGTGGTCTGCCGACCGAAATTATCCCTGTAGTCGTCTCTGCGAATGGGCTAATCCCAGTCAGCTTCTCGGGTCATCTGAGGCGACTGGGACTCCGTGATGGACCGCTCCGGGCTCAAATGCAGAAGGCGGTGCTCCTCGATACCGCCCGCATCGTCCGCCGGTTTCTTTCCCTTTCCCCCTAACCCTCGGCCGTTTGGTCTCCCCTGCCGAGGTCTCCCATCTGGTTGGATCTTATTTATTTATGTAGTTTTTGTGTTTATTTTATTTTATTGATATTTATGTATATTTATCTTTTCATTTTAATTTACAATTATATATTTATAGAACCCAACGTGGTGAGAAAATTATATAGATACCCCAATAGTAGATAAATTTGGGTTGTTCCCTATTTCCAAGATCATTCAGAGTATCCGGATCAGTAGACATCCAGATGTTTACGTTAAATTATTCAAAATTCCAATTTAGTTGCTTCCCACAAATTATAAAATTTTGTTAGTTTTTGGAATAAATTAGTTAGTTTAGATATGTACACTAATTATTTTTTATTTGTGATTTAGATTCATGGATACAAAGATTTTAATTTACATTGAAATATTGGATAAATTTATATAAAACTACACTGGAATCCAAAACCTGAAATCTTTATTAAGATTGATGATGTTTTCCCGACCGTATACTGACTAATGCAACTTTCAAAGTCAGTCGAGAGCTATTTACCGATTAATAGATATTATAGTGCCACATTTTGTCTAGATGGGGAGCCTGAGAATCAATTAATTTACACTACAACTACTTTACAGGAGTCGTGAGTGTTTCAATGAAATATTTAATCGAAATTCTACTATAATGAACTTTCGGGGTCATTTCCCTTAATCGTTAAAGCATTATCTACTATAGTTCATTGAACGATTAATATAGAATACAGTTTACAGCCTGTTTATTTTGTTAATAAATATTTTATTTAGAAACTTTTTAATAATGTTTGTTGTACCAAGTATATTGATTTACTTCTACTTTAATCTTTTTTAACTTCTTAAAGCCGTGCCAATCAGGGTCAGGGTGAGTTTTGTCGATACTATTTACCCGTAAATAAGAAAGTGTAACGTCATTATTTAATAATGAACAAATATTGTGCATTATTAAATAGCGACCCGCACCAATTTTGTCTGGAAGGGATTTGTTAATCCGATGGTATTTAGATTTAAGATATATAAAATTGAAATTTTTTATAATATATATTTTATAAATTTTTTGATCCAAAAAAAAAAAAATAAAACTCAAACATTGTCGAATAAAATATGGCCTAGAACATTCCCGACGTTGTCCTCTACTTTATTTAATATTATGTAATATGTATTGTTCAATAAATAACCATTTCTATTAATTAAATTAAGAATATTTGTAATTGAAATTAATTCATTCTTCTTATTCTTTCCAAACATTATGGTTGGTTGGTCGTTAGTTATTTACTCATTATAGATGATTACCTACTTGGGATTGCCTCGTAGGTCTAATGGTCGTAAACGCGGTTGCAGATCATGAGGTTGGGTTCAAATCCAGGATCGTGTTAAATCAGTTGTTGGGGTACACTTTCAAGTAATTCTCACTGACCCGGAATGAGAATGTTGGCGGTGTTTCACCAAGGTGCAACTACGTAAAGCCGTAAGTTCGTAAGTCATGTTGGGTTACCGTCCCGCCGGACTATCAGAGTGAGGGAATAGCACTTGCGCTTGCGCGTAAAATTGAACATTATAATCCTGTCTTGTACAGATGGCTGGTCTCTGTTGAGACTGGCTGCCGTGACCAACATTCGGTCTAAAGGACATTACTATTACTATTATTATACACGTTTCACAGTCACATCTATGTTTCTGCTCCATGTCATCGGCCAAGTGATTTTTACCTGGTAGAGCCATGCTGCAGATATATTATGGTTGCAGTACGAATGGATCGGCTCGACCGGGGTAGGACCACGCTCTCACAGAATACCAGCGTAGAATACCACGTGGTGAGTATAGAGAACTGGAAACCCATTTTACTGGAAACGAGGCATTCCATCTCAGTCCGTCAGTGTCATTTTGATTCTTAATTGAAGATAAATGTGGATGTTTATGGGCCAGAGTACCCACTTACCATCAGGTGAACTGTGTGCTCGTTTGTAACCCTTATTCTACAGAAAAAGTTAATTTACGGCTTGCTTAAACTAGGTGGTGATACTCTTTTGTGATGAGGGACAAGTGATTTCCCACGGGACGGAATGGGGTGGTGGTTTAGTCTACGCCACTACCACATCCTAATTAAAAATGATTATAAAATACGTGAGCATTAATTTTGACAACATGATAGATATATATCTAATATTTCTCTTCGTAGGTTTTATGAGAAAAGTACGTACATTATATATAATAATTTGTTTCGTAACCTACTTGTTAGTTTTCAAGGCGTATCAGCGTGTATTGATTTCCAGTTTTCGCTTTTTTCACTGAAACTCGACGAGTTTTTTTTTTGGTACCAGTCCGTCTTCGGTCGTTTGTAACCTACTATTCGTTTGTAGTCGATTTATGCGTTTCCTTGTGAATTTACATTAAATTATTGCTGCTTGATGTATCTAGACGTTGATATAACTAAGGTTTAAAACTAAACTGTGTTAGTTGGAAAAATTCAGTGTTTACTAAAATATAATAAAATCAAAATCTCATAATAATTAAAAAAATTGAATAGCATATTATGTGTTTTTTTTAATTACAGAGAAAAAATTGTGAATAGTAGGGAAGTTTTCTTTTTAAAATAAAATGGCTAAAAGCGACGCGGAAGCAGAAATAGAGAAAATTAAAATTTTAGAAGAGAGAATAAGAGCCCCATCGATATGGTGTAGGCTACCTTGTGGGTTACGCTTTGAAGATCTTCAAGACACCAGGTATGATGAGGCTATACAGCTACTAGAGAACAACTATTTAACAGATGAGGTGAGTGAGCTAGTGTGTAACAAACACAATAAGTTTGAAATATTATGTAATTATCAAATAAAGTCTAATATTTTCACTTTTAAAAATCTCAGATTTTATACCACACTTCAATTTATTTCAATTTAATTATGTGTGGATGTGTTTTTAAAGAAAACAACAGCCAAATATTTACTAGAAATAACTTAAACAAGAAATATCGGAATATTGAAGATAGTGTCTAAAACTATTTAATTTGTAGGTAACATATCGGTCGGTAAATATTGTAAGTGACAAAGAGGGAAGTGATGAGTTTGTTAATAACGCCCGTATATGGATGAAAGACAAAATGTCTTTAGCAGCTGTGGATGAAGAAACGAATGAACTAATTGGAGTTCTTATTATGAGGATACAAGAGAAAAGTAACATTTTATTTATATAGTGTACGAACCATATAAGGCGCATTTACCACCAGATGCCATTATCCCTCAGTCACCCTTGACATGTTATACGATATACAATATTATATATCTTAATTATTAGGTGAATTTATTGTCGCCTAATGGGCCAATTTTCTTTCGTTCCTGATGTCGGAAATAAAGATATTGTATATCTGTATAAATTATTACTATTTTTATACAGAGTATTACTAATACGCAAACTCGTAGTATTTTGTTTATTAATTAGCGTAAATAAGCAAGTTCCCTACAAATAGTGGTGACATAAGAGAATCTAAAAAAATCATACGATTGCAAAAATTATATTTTACACATTTTAATGCTGCTCCACGTCACCGATCTATTCCAAAATACACACTTAAGTTACGAGATGATTAACAAAAATGCGACTAAAAATTGGACTGAGTGCACACTTGTCACCCTTACAATAATTACATTTCCAGCCTTCCCTTATATAGGACGAGTTCATGTCAAACAATCCTCGTTATTAAGTAAATCCAGCTTTTGATTTTTTTACGAATAAATTGATAGTTATTTAGACCCGATTTTTTTAATCATTTGATAAATGTTATTTATTAAAGGATATAAAATATAATTGAATTCAAAATAACAGTAGTATTGTTGCGCGCCTAATTTGCAGCTTTTATTGTCACGAATCTCAAGCTTGTAACAGTATAAATAAAACTGTTAATTTACAACAGTTTTATGTTGTGTCAGATAATAATTTCTTGACAGAAAACTTTTCTGTATGAAAATTGGTCCTCAAAATTGTAAATGAAATCGAATATTTAACTGATTTCAGGTTCCTTCTCCCGTACATTTAGCCGTGTAAAGCTCACTTATAATATAAATTATACTAACATAATGACTTTCTACAACGAAATTGAAAAACCGGTGAATTTGTATCAGTTATTAGATATCAGAAAATATCTAAAAGTTTATGTAGTAGCAGTAAAAACAAATTTTCAGCATAGAGGTAAGTAAATCACTTTTAAGTTTGCGAGGGCGACACTGAAAGTTTTTAGAATTGGCCAATTGTAAACGTTATAATAAAAAAAAAATAAGTTCAAATTTCAAAAATGTGACTATTTGCCAATATTATTGTGTAGGTATTTTATTAGTTTGTTTACGATTTGGTGGTAAATTGAAAATTGTCTATGTTACGTCAGAATGAATTTAACGCGAGAAAATTTTCGTAGAATGGTTTTTTATGACTTTCGATGTTAAATTAAGTCAACAAGAATTGTGTCACTGTTTATAACAGGTTTAATGAGTTTTAATGTGGTAGCACGAATCTCAGCGATGGTCTACGAGAGGAAGATCTTCTACGGCGACGACTGAAGATAACATCAGTGTTGTGCGGCGTATGATAGAGACTAACAAAAGAGTGACTTATCAGTTGATTCGCGTTGCTTCCGCATCGGTATGAGTCAAGTGCACAAACTCCTCTAAAACATTTAGCGGTCAGAAAGTTTTGTGCCCGGAGGGTACATCATGATTTGACAGAGGCCCAAAAACTCCGTCGTGTTGATTGATGTTGTGAAATGGATTCAAAGATTTAACGGAGGTGAATCAAATGCTGTGTTCTAAATACTTACGGCTGACGAAGGCTGGATTTATTGCTATGATCCTGTACCTAAGAGACAGTCTTTTGTCTAGGTAGTTCCTTCCAAGGAGTTGCCAACTAAAGTGAAGAGAGGTCGAAGCGTGGGAAAAAGGATAGTGGCCTCTACCTTATACTAAAAAAAAGTTTGGGAGAAACGACCTCGCAGTAGAATCTTCCTTCACCACGACAACGCCTCCTCATATACAACCAATCAAACAATCTACAAATTGACTAATTGGCAACGTCAGACGTGGAATTACTGGGTCACTCGCCCTATAGCCCTATTTCTATAAAAATTTGGTAAAAAAAGTTTGCCAATATGGCTAGTTGGCTATATTTCGGCCACGGTAATATCTTGAAAATGTTATGAGAACTATGACTTTTATATTTTTACAAATATACAGGCTTAAATGGTTACTTGAAAGTAACTTTTAGCAAAATTTCAATTTAATCTGCATTCGGAGTTGCCTGCTGACTAAAAACCAGACTCTTGTTATAATGTGCTGCTATGAGTCATCTTTGACATTTACATTATGGATTAAATATATGGAGCAGCGTTGCGAGTGCAAATATAAAACAATAAAATTAATTCCCTTATCAGTTCAGAGTATTGCCAGAGTCTTGTTTAATACACAGCAGAATACATCAAGTAATGTCGGTGCGGTGCGGTAATTGAAAGTAATATAATTTCATTTCTAAAACCAAAGTTGTAAATGAACTCACAGCCCGTCTGATGGCATGGTTGCTACAGTCCACGGACATCTGTAGCCAAACTCATACATAAAAAACAAATGATGTGTAGCCACCTCCTCCGAGGACTAAGATGAAATACCTCGTAGCCTGTGATTATCTCAGATCGGAACTACCACCTAAAAAAAGTTTAGTTATTTTTTTTAATATTTTAACTTTTTTATTTGATAGGTTTGGTAAAGAAAATGTTGAAGTCAGCCATATCGCTATCAGCAAGTGCCAATGTACCAGCAATTGCTGGCATATTTACAGCTCAGCGTCTTCAAGATATAGCTGAGGAGCTGGGTTTTGTCAAGTTGAATGAAATTTTATATAAAAACTTCGTTATTAATGACAAGGTAAGAAACAGGTAAGTCAGTGACGAAATCTAAAGTATAAGAGCTATGCAATTAAAATTTTATATGTTTAATAAGAACCACCACACTGAAATTTAAGCCACAGCCAAATAATAAGAACCACAAAAACTGTACGTAGTTTGTGATAAAAATACTTAAGTTATTCCAGGACTTAGTGTCATATTTCATTTTCACCACGGGTAGGTAATTAATTAATATAATCAAATTTTCTTTTGTTAAAACATTTAAATCAATACAAATTCCTTCTCCCTTCTGCCGCACACATTCACACATTTATATTATATCACCTAGAATATATATATATATATATATATATATATATATATATATATATCATCGCTTAATGGCAATTATGTATAACAGCAAGTGGATTCTGTGGCCCATAGACATCTAAAATTATTATTCTCGATTAAAAATCAAGATGCAGATGTGTTTTAGCCCCAAGGACTAAAATGGAATGCGTATTTACCAGTAAAGAGTGTCTCTGGTTCTCCATGCTCAGCATACAAAACACAGCAGGAATAAGCTGCTGTTTTACATTGGTAATTATTGTAGGTTTGAGATGTTATTATTGATATAATAATTTATGTTCACAGGTAATATTCACTCAGACTGGAGTTAATAATCACGCGGCAGCATTTATGGCATATCGTATTCCTAATATTCAAGAGACTCAAGAAATGCAGACGCAACAAATTCCTAGATTTAATATTGCGCCATGCAATGTTAATAAAATATAACCGAGGCAATATAGTTTTTAAAACAATTTAATATGAATATATTTACTTAGTTCAAGAATTTATCAAGCAAATGAAATTACATGCCGTACACTTGACTATGTTTTTAATCTTGTACATATATCTTTTTGTTTTGTGAAAAGGTAACTGAAGCATTATCCATTGAAATAGCCTCACATGTGAAGTTCTAAAATTGCTAAATATAAATTTTCTGTTAATTTAAAATACTATTAAAAATTTTCAGTCATGCAGGTTTCTAATTTATTCACCGTTATGGACGTTGTAAATCAGTACTTCCAAGTGCGATGCAGTTTTAGTGGTGCTGGCCCGAGTTTAAATCGAGTTGCTCGCGTACTATAAAATTTATGACGAACGTCATGCATATAAAACAATACGGCTTTTTATAACATCTATTAGCAACGTTCATCTAACCATTAGCGGATCAATGTAGGGTTCTCAAACGTAAGCAGCATTTGAAACTTAGAAGATAATGGGGCTTCGACGACTTTTTTTACCACTAGGGAAAAGAAATACTGTCATGTAATTTGTCAAATATTTCACCAACGAGGGCTTCACCAACCAAAATTATAACATAAGACGGTATTAACACACGACAAATTTTATAACACAGATGAAATTACTGTGGTGATTTTAAATGTAGTCATGAATATGATACTTGACTACGCCAGTACGACAAAGCTAGTTGACATTCGGATGCTGATTTAGAAATATATAAACAGATTCTTTAACTTACTTGAAAGGAAATAGAATCTTATAGCTTGTACACGACAAAGTTCCAGTTCATCTTGTATGTGACTTGCAAGTAAAAAGCAAACTTTCTTGAGATTTATGAAAATGTTGTAGTATTCAAGTTATTAGCTCTTATTTATTTAATGAAGTGTATAACTTATCAATGTCATAGACTTTAAAAAGGAAAATTGAGCATAAAATTGTTGATCGATAATAATCATTGTATTAATTATTGAAAATTCTGCAATCATTGTACCTAGATAATAAAGCGCACGCCCTATCGTTCAAATCTCGGCTAAAATCAAAATGTAAGCAAAAAAAAACTATTATGTTCGGGTTTTATTTATGTTGTGATTAAAAAGAGACCCTTAACTGCTTGAGATCCTAAGCTACTTGAGATAAGCGTCACATATGGTTTATTTTCAAGAAACGGTACTATCCACAAAAAGTGCACACAGAAAATTACGTCTAAATAACGCACTATCACGATAGACGACCCCCAGTATCCGGCGGCCCCGCTATTCCTGGCTACGGAAGAGATCGTGGAAAGGGCGTTGCAGGGGGTGCTCAGAATCTTTGGTGGAAGCTCGGTTGCCACCTAAAGCGACTCGACCTGGCAACATAAAACGCACGCACTGACTGAGGACTGACGGGAAGATCCTGGAGCTGGAAGAAGAGATAGCCAAGTTGCGCTAGAATATTATAGGATTATCCGAGATCCGAAGGGAGGGGGAGGAGATTGTGAATCTCGAATCCGGAAACTTGTTCTATAACTGGGAGGTCGACCATCTGTCACATTAAGGTGTTGCATTTATCTTTCACAAGCCTCTCGTTAACAACGTTGTAAAGATGGGGAGTGTGTAGATGAGGGTTGCGTACTCTATATTCAGAATCACCCAACTCGCTGATGGTCATATGGGTTTACGCACCAACGTCGGAACATCCCGATGAGGAGGATATTGTTTAAAGATATTTCTAGAGCCATGCATTACTCCAAAACCTAATAAACGGTGTTAATGGGAGACTTCAATGTAAAGATATGCACAAGAAAGAATGGTGAGCTGAAGGTAAGAAAAATTGGGATAGAGTAACAGAACTCAAGGGGCCAGCAGCTGGTCGAATTTATGAAGGAATAGGGACTTTTTATGATAAACTTTTTCTTCCAGAAGCGGCCCCATAGACAGTGGACCTGTTTGAGCCACGATGGTTCGACGAAAAATGAGATTCTATTCAATTTGACGACTAGACGGCAACTGTTCAGTGATGTCTAAGTGATTGCAAGGATAAAAATTGGCAGAGATCATCAAATGCACACTGAACTTAAACGTTCAGTTGAAGAGGTCTCATTTAATGAAGTCAACGCACCGTCCCTCTCGTGCTCTAATTTAAAGTCCCAAAACCTTTCAGCTCGAGTTAAAAAACTGTTTTCAGTGCCTAGAAAATTGTAATGCAGTGGACGACATGAATAGCAAGCTCGAGGAAACTGTCCATGCGGTCGGAGCTAAGTTCTGCAAGAACTGCAGTAGAAGAACACAAAAACTCTCCAATCACACTCTTAATCTCATGGATATTATACGGGAAATGAAGTTGTAGTCTTCAACAGATTTGACAGCATAGAGGCAACTAAACAGACAGATCTCCAAATAAATGCGGCTGGACTTATGCAACTTCAATACTGCTCGTATTCAAGAAGAAATCAAGCGGGACCAGGGCTTCAAACTATTTGCCATAGATCTGTCTGCCAGAAAGAGCCAACTGTCAAAGCTGAAGACTGAGTGTGGCAGCATCGTTTCCGGGACATCCGAGATTTTGAGGGAGATTCAGAGGTTCTATCCTGTACACATCATCGTTGGAGCCACAGGCAAATGTGATTAATGATCCAAGAGCAATCTTATCCGACACTATTCCAATGATATCCCAGACGTGAGTATGAACGAGATTAGAATGGCTCTCCAGCATATTAAAAACGACAGGGCCCCAGGCGAGGATGGAATTACAGCAGAACTTCTGAAAGCGGATTTCGTCCTACATCGTGGCACTACTCCGAAAGTTTGGAGCAGAATTGCCGTGGTCTTATTCTTTAAGAAAGGCCACAACGCTCTCTTGAAGAACCACAGCCCAATTTCCCTTTTGAGCCGCGTCTACGTGCTGTTTTCGAGAGTCATTACGAATCGTGTCGCACGCAGACTCGACAAATTCCAGCCTCCCAAAAAAGCCGGTTTCCAAAAAGGCCTCAGTACCATAGACCACATAAATACCCTGTGGCAGATTGTACGGAAGATCGAAAAGTACAATTTGCCACTTTGCATGGCACATTGGAGAATATGATTCTTGTTTGATTCCTTTGATTCCGTCTAAATTTGGGCAGTACTACCTTTCAGCGTGGCACCGCTGAAAGGACTGTAGTACTGCCCAATTTTTTTTTTGTTGATTGTTGGTATATTGAAGTGCTGAAGTATTTGTGGCGGTGCTGTCGTCGTGTCACAAGCGAAACACATTGGGTGCGTTTGGCAGAAAAAAGCGCTAGCAAGCGTTTGTAAGCAAAATGGCGATCGTAAGCGGTAAGCGCTGTCAAATCGTAAGTAGCTATTTTCCTCCAGGACACGATGTTAGTTTTAACCGGGGAATCTAACCTAATTTAAATATATGTTTATAAAGTATTCATACTAAAAACTTACCAATCATGTGTTTTTAATAACATGTATATGTTTATTCATGTCATTATATTACTTAAAACTAATATTGCACAAAACAACTTAAAAAGTCTACTTCAAAACAAACAAATTAAATAAGCAAAATGGCGGATTGTGTCAGCGCTACTGAAGTAGCAATCGTGTCCTGGTCGAAAACTATTTTAGCGCTTATAAGCGCTTACTAGCGCTTTTTTCTGTCAAACGCACCCATTGAACCATAAATTGTGATATCAAAGTTCCGAAGTATAAACAGTAGTTTGTATAGTAGGGCTACGATGGCTATCCGAGTTCAGAACCAGTGTACGAAACCTATCCAACTACAGAGAGGTGTAAGAAAGGGTGACGTTAGATAACCGAAACTCTTTACCGCTGCATTGGCAGACATTTTCAAACTACTGGACTGGAAAGGATACGGTATTAACATCAATGGCCTTTGATTTGCCGACGATATAGTTCTTATGTCAGAATCGCTTGAGGACCTAAGCACTATACTCAATGACCTCTATAGTGTCTCCCAACGGATAGGTCTTAAGATGAACGTGGAAAAAACGTGTAATGTCCAGGTCACACCTATGCCGGTAGTTGTTGGGAGCACTAAGCTTGAAGTTGTTGACGAGTACGTTAACCTGGGATAAATAGTCCGACTAGGTAAGTCCAACTTCGATCGAGAAGTTAATCGACGGATTCTACTCGGCTGGGCAGCGTTCGGGAAATTACCACACATCTTACTGGATTATAAAACCAGTGCGTGTTGCCAGTGATGTATATCGGATCTGTGACGTGATCCTTCACTACTGGCCGATTTAAGACGCTTTAGGTCACTCGGCGAGCTGTGGAGAGGACTATGCTCGGGGTTTCTCTGCGTGATGAACATTTACTTAACTGTTCATCACGCAGAGCAAAACATTTACTTAACTTAACTGTTCAACGAATGAATTTAATCTTTATGTTTGTGGTGATATATCCCTTTCTACTATATTCACATAAAGCAAATATGTCTTCTCTGCTAGATTTAATGAAATTTGTTGACTATACCGTACTATTTTTCTTTTTGCATGTTGAAAAACTAACGATAATGTGATTTAAAATTAAAAGTTAGCTTTTATTATGGGTTAAATAATGCAATAGAAATTAATGGCAAAATTGCTTACATTTTTTAAAATGTAGATAATAATAATAATTCTTTTATTTCATACCTCGTTGTTAGGAATTTGTTAGCACTGCGCACCTAAATACTTATGTTAGTTCCTTAAATATGTATTTTATTAATTACTTTTTAACAAATAGTTCTAATGATTAGGAATATGCCAGTCATATCGTTCGGTGAACATTTTCATAATACTGTTGTGGCCGCCACGCATTCTGCTCAACAGGGACTCTTTTACGTATTACTGCAAAGAAGTAATCTGTTCGCGCTTCTGCAAATATCCAAGCGAGGCAGCCCCAACAGGGCTCCGAAAATGTTATTATATAAAATACGAAGTTCAATGTAAGGACCCTTTGTATACGTTGTCTATAAGCTGCGTGCATAAAAATGTTGGGAGTAGGCTTTAAATATTG